TGCATCAATGGAGTTTTCGACTGTAGATTAGGAAAAATTTCTTTACTAAAAGAGTGGTCAGGCATTGGAACAGGCTGCCCAGGGAAGTGGTGGAGTCCCCATCCCTGGAGATGTTAAAAAAATGTTTAGATATGGCATTTCAGGACAAGGTTTAGTAGGCATGGTGTTGTTGGGTTGACAGTTGGACGTGATGATCTTAGTGGTCTTTTCCAATGTGATGATTCTGTGATTCTATGTTTCTATGAAATGAGTGACAACACTGCTCGTCAGAAGACCAGCAGAATCAATTAGAGCTTTAGTGGAATTTTGCTATCCTGTTTGCTCTGTGATCCTACTTTCTCAGGTTTTTCACTGTACAGACCTATTAGCAAAAGAAATATAAACTCCAGTCAGTGACACATCTAGTCTTCTCTCTGATCTCCTCCAGACAACTAGAGTAAACGTTTACTGTAAGTTTAAGGAAGATTCTATTCTTTTTTTATCTGAAAAGCACAGATAAAATGTCACGTAATCCACTTGGTATCTATTTGTCTAAGCCTCACAAAATAAGGTTGCAACACATGCACCAAATCAAATTGCCAGCACGCTCCCCATATGACAACCTTAAAATAGAAATAAACTGGACTAGATTTCAGTGATTTGGCATGTCATTGTGCAACAAACACTCTTACCATGTTTCTGCTGCTCTGCAGCAATCTTCCCAAACCTGCTTTTGTCCCACGGCACACCGAACGCAAACTACCTTCTTTTATGTGCGCCATGGAGTAACAACCCATGCCCAGGCAATGCCACCGAGCCATTAGTACCTGATAACTTGTTCTTCTGTTAGTGAGCTCTTTGGCTGCTCACTGTATTTCCAAGCACTCTGTTGTACAGAATAAGTTTCATTATTTTCAGGACCATATTAAACCGCACAGAGAAATTGCCGAGAAGGCTGGTGAGGCTAACACATTCCCAAATTCCAACTGTTGTTTTCACCAGAAAAATGAATATAAAAGGTATTTCTTGGCTAACCATCGATTCCCATATTGCTAATAGAATGCAACAGAGATTAGAGATTAGCAAGAAAAAAGTGACTATAAAGACTAGAGAGTTCAAACAAAGCATGCTGCTGAAGTCCCCATGCGTGAGAACTTTTATTAAATTCAGATTATTAAATTCAGAAGCACAGTGAAGAGAAGTAACTTCTGAATATCTTGCTACAGATGTCTTTTGAAGAACATGATGTTTATGACACAGAAAGTCGATATTCAAAGAGGATCCAGGAGCAGAACTCTCCCAGCTCCCCAGCTGGAAGGTAGTGGGATGAGGACAGCTGATGGAGGAGGCACTCCCCCAGGGCCGGGATGGGAGCAGGTCCCTCCACTCTGTGCCCTGGGTCGGATGTGGAGAACCTCATCCGCAGGGAGCCTTGTGTGGCCTCCCCGACACTTTGCCTTGCTCCCTGCTCCTGAGAGCAAGCGCCCTGAATGCGAGCCCTGAACGCAAGCCCTGAACACAAGCCCCTCTCTCCATAGGAAGCAGCTGGGCTCTGCTGCACTTGGCTTTGCTGGGGCAGTTGAAGTTCGTGGATTTTGGCAGTGGTGGGTTATAGTGCAAAACTTGCTGTTGCATGCAGAAGGCAATTCCCGGCTGAGGCAAACAAGGAGGGAGACCCAAAGGACTCTGCCTCTCTAGAGGGGTTTTACACTCCACTGTGCAGATTCCCAGCCCTTAGAGGGAGCAGGATGGACAAAAAAGCCATGGACATCCTTGCTCAGCAAAAAGCTTTCAGCATGGGCCACACAGGCTAGGAGAGCAAGCCACCCTTCTGCTGAGAACAACAAAGTTATTTGTAAAAACTGCTGAAAACTGCTGTGTGAAAACAGGGCTTTTTGTTAGAAAGGGAGCAGCTCCTACGTGTCCCAGGAGGCACTGGGGTCTCACACCAGGCTCCACCACAGCCATGGTGTTTCCTCCCCTTCTGGCTCCAAATGTCCAGTATAAGGTTACAGCATTACTAGTAACAGGTTATAATATTACTGCACAAGACAGAAAGTGACAATATCTGAGACATTAAGCCTGATCCACCTAGCCTATAAATCCCTCCTGACCAGAAAGAGCACCCAAGAGAGCAACTCCTCCAGTGCAGCCGCCTGGGATCCGCAGCCAGCGCCACTTTTTAAGCGACATTGCATCCTTCCTAGTGATAAGGCATCTGCTTGTCATCTGACAGAGCCATGCACCTTGCTTCTCCTTTCCCAGCTGCAGGCCTCCACACCAGGTCTCATCTTCAATCTTTATTTTACGACTGCAGACAATCCATCTCTGAAAGCCGTTGGTGTTAACAGCAATCGGAGAAAATACGAATAGTTCAAAGAGCAGGATATCTGAATGTGGGCTGTTCAGGTTATTGCATTCGTATTTTCATTTTGATTGCCTTTTCCCGTGCATACTAACAAGTTAACGAACTTTTCCTTCAAAAGCATTTTTTACTTTCTGACTGTCAAGAAAGGGGTACTGGCTTCTTATCATCAGACAGGTCTGAACATAATTTATAGAGATTTATTAATACTCCATAGACTTGTGTGCATAGACTGAA